AAGGGCCGATAACGCCCGCTCTGTGAACTTACTGTGAGGACAGTGGTGAAAGTGCCCTGTATACCGTAAAGTACTGTGCACATGAAGACAGGAGACTTGCCCATCAGAAGGGCAAGCAGCCCCCTTCAGACCTGGACTGCTGAGACTGCCCCTGTGCCCTCCCCCAGCTGACTCAGTGGCCATGCCCCAGCTAATGATCACGATCCGGGTCAGCAGTTGCGGTGAGTAAGGAGGATGGCAGAGGGGGACGCAAGGGAAGCATCATTCAAGAACTGGTTTCAATAATTGAAACCTGCTGCCCAGAGGCTCCCACCTCCAGAAACCATGTGCCGAAGGCCATTTGAACCAGGAAGCCCTCCTGGCCCACTGGCCCCCGCCCAGCTGTGGCTGAGCCTGCTGGCAGACGTAGTGAATGCCCCCATCAAGCCTTCAAGGAGGGGCTGCCTGATGGGGAACACAATCTGGGGCTGCTGTCATGTGCTGGGCCACCTGGTCACCACTTGTGCCTCTCTGGGCTCCAATTTTCTCCCAGTCTCCCCTTGGTGCCCCTCAGAACCACCTAGCAACTGGCTGACGCTCTTTGAAAATCAGAAATGAGAAAGAAGCCCCCACCATCCCCCGCCAGGCATATCCTGCCAGAGGCCCACCTCCTTCTGCCCACAAGCCAAATCAGCTTCTAAAAATAAATCTTTGTGTGGCCAGCTGTGTGGGGGAGGGGGTTCTACCCCTGAGGCCTCAGGCGCTGCCTGGCACCTGGTCCCCTGCCCACAGGGACCCAGAAACCGTGATTCAGGCAGTTGTGGTTCACTGTCCCCAACATCCAGAGCTCTCTCCCACAACCAGGGGCTCCTGAATAAAGTCAAGAGCAGGTAAAATGAACTTTCACACCACATCCCACTCCCATGGAGGTGCCCCACCTGGGGGCCCTCGAGGATGCTCACAAGAGGCAGTACGATTATCTGATTATCTCCATGCTACAGCCGAGAGAGGCAAGGCACTGAAACCAGGCAGGGAACGCACTTGCCTGGGGCCACAGTCTGCCAGATCAGGGCTAGACTTTGAGGCTAGTATGCCCTTCTCCTCAGCTCAGGAGCAGTGGGGTCAGAAGTGACAGTCCTGGGGTGGAAGAGGCTACCGAGGCCGCTGTGCCGGAAGCCACCTCCAAGTCCCCAGCAGGCCTTCCTCCTTCCGCTACTTACCGGAGCCTTCATGCTGTCGCTGCCGCTCAGCAGCCAGGGGGCTGCTGTCTCCAGGGCTTGGGCTGGGAAGGGATGGGAGCCGGGCACCTGCCAAGACCCAGAAACTGAGAGCTAGGTCCCAGGCCTCTTAGGAAACCACTCAGGGAAACTGAGGCAGGGGAGGGTACAGGCCGGGATCAAGGCAGCTGGCTTCTGGGAATCAAACACCTTAAAGCCCCCAAACATCGGGCAGCACTGTCCCCATCCTAAAGGAACTGGAATAGGTGACTTTTGGGAAATCTCCCGCCAATCCAATCCCCACTGTGCAGAGGGGGAAGAAGAACAGGCAGAGAGGGGAAGAAGAGGCAGAGAGGGGGAGCCTTCGGCTCAAGGTCACCCATCGAGTCTGGGTCAGATAGAACCAGGGGCCCTGATTCCCACCGCATCCCTCCTACCTCACTACCCGCGAGACGAATGGAGAGGCCTGGGGCGGGAAAGGACAAGGGATTTCCGCACCCTCTCCCAGATTCCACCGCCCCCTCCCCCGGCCGGGGGCTAACCGGGCGGGCAGGTTGGGGCGCGCCGCCTGCTCTCGATCCGCTGCTCGGAGATCCATGGCCCGCGGGCCGGGCGGGCCGGGCGGGAAGCCGTAGCCCCAGGGCGGAGGCGGCGCGGCAGCCGCGGCTTCTGGATGCTGGAAGCCGAATGTGCTCGGCCGGCGGCGGGGGCGGGGTCTGCGAGGACGGGGAGGAGACAGGCGCGGCGGGGGCGGGGCCCCGCGGCGGGGGCGGGGCCTACGAGAGCTGCCTGTGCAGGGGAGGGAGAGGCGTGGCTGGCGGAGAGGCCCCGGGATGAGGGCGGGGCCTGCGGGCCGGGGGCGGAGCCTTAGCTCCCGCCTCTCCCCTTTTCTGCCCTCCTGCGTTTCTTCGAATCTACTGCCGAGAGTAGGCGGCCCGCAGAGGAAACCCCTGGAAGGCGTCGGAATCCCTGAGCCTGGCTCCCTGGCGGGCAGGACTTGAGTCTCTCCGCTTCTGAGACTGGGGCGTGGGGTCGGGCAGCCCTGGGTTTCAAGCTGGTAGGGCTGCGAGATTTAGCAAGTTAAATACAGGACGCGCAGTTATATTGGAATTTCAGATAAACAACGAATACTTATATTAAAAAGTGTCCTATATTTTTTCTAGCAACCTGACCTCTCCTGGCCCTGCGACCTTTACTTGAGCTATTTTTCTCCTCGATCAAGTGGGGTTAACAACAGCGCTTCCCGCCGCGTGAGAGAGTGGAGGGACAGCTCGTGGGACAGTCGGGATTCGAACCTTGGGCACTCTCACGGCAGAGCCGGGGCTCTGATCATTTACTGTCACCTCCCAGATGCCCCGAGGAGTCCTCCAAATGGAAGCCGAGCCAGTGCAGGGCCCCTGCGGATGCTGAAATGGGTCCCATTTGAAGGCCCAGACCGGGTCCCTCAGGGATTTCAAAATCGGGGGCCAGAAAGGGTTGAAGGGGCAGATATGGGGCAGTAGGGAGGGGCGGGCCTGTGGTGAGGCGAGCGTAAACTTCCTGTCTCAAGTGTTTTTCCACAAAAGGCTGCCTGGGCCAGAAAGTTCATCTTCCCACCCCCATCACCCCCACCTCCCTCCAGAGGGCCCTGGCCTGGGGACTAGCCTGGGCTCCTGCTCTGGCCCCATTTCAACTGTATTGGGTATCTGCCCTGGCTCAGAGATGTGCCAAGGCTACTGTCCTGCAGGAGCAAAGCCAAGACCCCAGGGCTGCTGCTTCCCTCCATGCCTCTCCCCATCCTGTTGGGGGTGGGGACGGGGAGCTGCCCACATGGCCCTGCCCCCAGGGACCCCTCTGAGCATAAGCCTTCCTTGTCTCCCCCACCCCAGCTGGGCACACCTCACAGGTAGTGGTCCAAGGTCAGTCTCTCTCACGGGCCCTCGTTCACACAAGGCAAGGCACACGGTGGGTCCCCAACACCAGAGCCTCTTGGCGCTCCCCCCGCCAAGTCCTCACCCTTCAAGTCTCTCTCCTCATAGACCCAACCCCAGGGGACCGTGGTGAGGAGTCCCCTGTGGATTCATCCATCACCCACAATGGCTGGTGAGGTGACGAGTCCTTCCCCAGAGAGGCAACCCCTCCTTGCTAGAGCCACGTGGAGACAGGGGCGTGCCCCAATGTCCCGGGCTCCCGGAGCAGAGGAGGATCAAACATCCCCAGTGGAATTGAGACTGGGAAGGCCGGCAGCCTCAGATGTAGCTCCTCAGTTTGGTTTTGGAAAAAACCCACTCTTCTCACCTAGACCTTCAAGGCCCTGCACAGTCTGGACTCCTGCCTCCTTCTTAATCACTGTTTGCCCACCCTGGCCACCCTTCTGGCCCCCAGTCACACTAAAGCTCATTCCTACCTCAGGACCTTTGCACTTGCAGTATCCTCTGCCCCTTGACTGGTCCATTCACATGGCTGGCTCCTGGTCATGCAACTCAAATGTCACCTCCTCAGAAAGTCCCCCTCCAACCATCGTGTCCAACGCTGCACCCCCATCCCTCGAGTCCCACCTTGACTTATCTTTTTCATGGAACTTGCCACACTCTGAAGCACCCATGTATTAATGGTTTTCTCATTTGTGGTCCACCTGCCCACTGGACTTTAAGCTCCATGTGGGCAGTCCGGCCAGTCATGTTCTCGGGGCTTTCCCAGTGCCTGCACAGCGCCTGGCACACCCTACGGGCTAGGTAACGTCTGTGGAATGAGCAAGTTAGGAGAGCCAGGAGTCCTGGGCCCTGTGAGATCTTGGATGAGTCACTTCCCTCTCCAGCCTCAGGCCTGACCTCAGCCTACTGCCAGAGACCCAGAGGGGTGGGGCTGAGCCGTCCCCTTCTGTGAGCGCAGGACTCTGGGGCTCTGGCAGCCTTGTCGGATCCAGACTCCAGGGAAACCGAGGCCCAAAGGTCCTGCCGAGCTTCCTCCCCCACCCTCCTCCACCTACTACCCTTTACTCAGCCTCCCGGTTTATCTGACCTCACAGCCTGGCACACAGGAGGTGTTGGAATGAGCAAAGGAAGGGCAGGGTCAGCTCAGAGCGCCGCCGAGGGCAGCCTGGCAGGGCCCATTGTCTGGGGCCCCCTGGAGGAGGCGGTAGCCTCACCCTCCTGTGGGCCCCCAGGCTTAACGCACTCCATGTCTCAGCTTCCTGCTGAGCCCAAACAAGAAATTCTCCATGGCTTGTGCCAGCTCAGAGAGGCTGAGCAACCACCCAAGGTCACCCAGACGACTGGGGGTGAGGTCAACAGTCTATTTTCTAGGAACCCACCCTCCAGCCCTGCAGCATAAGCTATCCCTTTCCTCTCCCTTCCCCATCAGCCATTTTTCGTTTTCTCAAAGGCTGATGGGGTGGCAGTGTTTGGTGTAGCTGAGCAGCTTTCCCGAGGTCCAGAGTCCTCCAGTCCTGGGGGTCAGCTCTTGGCCCAGAAAGCCCCCCACCACGCTGTTCCCACCCACTCTGAACTCCAGCCGCAGGGAAATGTTTCTTTCTCTCAAATGCCAGGCTCTCCCTCACCCCGGACCTTTGCTATGCCCTCGGCCTGGAACCCTCCCAGGGCTGCACCTGACTCTTCTGGTCTCAGCTTAGAGGACACAGCCATCCAGTAATTAGGCGGGGGCCCCTTCCCTGAGCTCCAGGGCCCCACGCTCCTTCACGAGGCTTTGTCACACCCGGTTGCTTTTGTAAAGACCCCTCCCCTCTGGACTGTGAGTTCTGTGAAGGTGGACTCTGCATCTTGCTCCACCCCCAGGTCCCCATCACCCAGCAGAGGGCCTGTCACATAGCAGGTGCTCAATGAATATTTAATGCGTTAATGAGGTCCGTTTTCATCCTTTCAATTTTACAGATTAGACCACTGAGGCACAGACAGGTTTAGCACCTTGCCCAGGTCACACAGCCAGGCCCCAGAGGAAAGGACGGCTTGGGCATGGTCGGATTGGACGGGGGTCAGAGGCCCGGCTGGAGTTTCCTGGAGGAGGGAGAAGGAAGGATCAGGGGCTGTGCAGCCACTTTGCTCTGCTCTGTTCCCAGTGATGTCTGTGTGGCCAGCACCCTTGGTCTGACCACCAACCCCTGCCGTTATTTCACAGATAAGAAAAGTGACTCCCAGGGGCTGGCCCCATGGCCGAGTGGTTAAGTTCGCGTGCTCCACTTCGGTGGCCCAGGGTTTCGCCGGTTGGGATCCTGGGCGCAAACATGGCACCACTCATCAGGCCACACTGAGGTGGTGTCCCACATGCCACAACTGGAAGGACCCACAACTAAAAATAGACAACTATATACTGGGGGCTTTGGGGAGAAAAAGGAAAAATAAAATCTTTAAAAATAAAAAAAGGAAAAGTGACTCCCAGAGGAGGGTAGAGCTTACTCAAGATCCATAGTGGACTCCAACATAGTGCCTCCTAGAGCTGCAGGCCCCCCCAACACCCCACCTTCTCCCACCTGCATCCCTAGAGGGACAGGAGCCAGGGGGCCACCCCAGACGGAGGCCAGTGGGCTCTGCTTGAGCCAGGGGCAAGGGGTTGGGAGACCTGGGTTCTCAGGCTGGCCTTGCCACTTACCCGTGCATAAGCCCCTTAAAGTCTCTGGGCCTCAGTTTCCCCATCTGGATGGCTCCAGGGGGCTGGGCTGGAGCCTTCAGTCTCCCTGCTTCCCCAGAGCATGGGGACAGGCTGCGGGAGCTGGTGGGCAAGAACACAGGCTCCTGAGTCCAAAAGGCATAGTCGAGTCCTGGTTCCAGCTTTCATTGCTGAATGATCTTGCTCAGTCCCTTCACCCCCTGAGCCTCCATTTCATGGTCTGTAAAAAGAAAATAATAGCATTTTTTGAGGATTAAATGAGCTAATGTGGGGGAGTCCCTGGCACAGTGCCAGGCACAGCAACACCGTCGAATGAGGCTGTGTCGCCTTCGTGTTAGTGAGCGGACACCGCCCTCTGGAGGCCAACGGGAGGAACAGCCGGCGAGGGGAGCCCAACCTGCTGCCCTGGCCAGGCTGGAACCGTCGTTCCGGGCGTGCGCCCATTGTCCAGATGGGGAGAGCGGCCCGGCGCCGGTCACTCGGTGTGCGCCTCCGCCCACTGGCAGAGGCGACGGGCGTAGCAAGCTGGGCTGACAGGGGAGAAGGTCCGGCCCAAGCAGCACAGCGTCCCGCATAGGTGCTCCAGCCGCTTGTGAAGCCCGTAGACCGTGACGAGGTCCACGAGGCCCAGGAAATAGCGTTGCTCCGGCCCATCCACGATGTGCAGGGCGTTGGGGGCGTCCGGCAGCAGCCGGCGGTTCTGGGCTCCAGACTCCTCCGGGCTCTGGATCCCTCGCACAGACCTGGGGACAGACAGGAGGGTGAGGCTACCGACTCCTCCAGGGGGTCCCAGTCAGTGGACCCTGCCAGCGTGGCCAGGCTGCCCCTCGGCGGCGCTCTGCGCTCACCGTGCCCTTCCTTTGCTCATTCCCACACCGCCTGTGTGCCAGGCTGTGAGGTCAGATAAGCTGGGAGGCTGAGTAAAAGGTGGTTGATGCTCAGGAGCTGCACTAGCCGATATGCAGCCGCTAGCCACATGTGGCCATTGAGCACTTAAATGTTGCAAGTCCCAATTGAGATGCAGGGAAGTGTAAAATACATACTGAATGTCATTGTCCAAGACAGAATGAGACAAAGAATGTAAAATATCTCATAGACGTTTATATTGATTAGATGATGACATGATAAAATTTTGGATGTATTGAGTAAATAAAATATATTATGGAAATTATTTTACGGGCTGGCCCCGTGGCCGAGTGGTTAAGTTCGTGCACTCCGCTGCAGGCGGCCCAGTGTTTCCTTGGTTCGAATCCTGGGCGCGGACATGGCACTGCTCATCAAACCACGCTGAGGCAGCATCCCACATGCCACAACTAGAAGGACCCACAACGAAGAATATACAGCTATGTACTGGGGGGCTTTGGGGAGAAAAAGGAAAAAAAAATCTTTTAAAAAAATTTAAAAGATTAAAAAAAAGAAATTATTTTACTTGTTTCTTTTTACTTTTTAAAATGCTACTAGAAAATGTAAAACTGCCCGTGTGCCTCCCATTGCTTTTTTTTTTTTTTTTTAGGACAATTAGCCCTGAGCTAACATGTGCCGCCAATCCTCCACTTTTGCTGAGCAAGTCTGGCCCTGAGCTAACATCCATGTCCATCTTCCTCTGTTTTATGTGGGACACTTGCCACAGCATGGCTTGACAATCGGTGCCATGTCCACACCCAGGATCCCAACCGGCGAACCCCTGGCCTTGGAAGCAGAACATGTAAACTCAACCACCGCACCACCAGGCTGGTCCTCCCATTGCATGTTTATTGGGTAGCGCTGGTCTAGAGCAGTGGGTCACACACTGGTATTTGGGTATTTCCCAAGCTTCAATTTGGGGTCATCCAATCGTGGAAGTTTCAGGGTGGCAGAACTGAAACCTTGTGAACAAACTCCAACTCTACTTTGCAGATGCTGTGTTTTTTTGCCTCAAAATGTATTCCAAATCAGAAGATGCATTTGGCTGGGCCCCCAGTCCCAGCCAGAAGCAAGTGCAATTCCCTAACACTGTCCTCCTGGGGGTGGGAGGGAGGTGGGGGGTTGGAGGGTGGGGTGGCTAAAGGGGTTTATTCCTGTCTTGCCCAAGGAAGTAAGCCAATGAGAGACAAGCCCCTCCCAGGCACCAACCAATCAGAACCCAGTGGTGTGGGAGCCTGAGCAAGGCGCTGGTACTCTGTGGTGTCAGGGTTAACATGGATGAGGAAGAGGTGGGAGGGAGTGTGTTCTGAATGAGGGCTTGGAACTGGGTGAGGGCGGGGCTGGGACAGTGGCTATTGACCGGCCAGCATGGCAATATTTCAATAAGATAACCATTACATGCAAACTCGGTCTTACAGGCTGAATGACAGCCATGATCTAGGCGCCGGCCGGGGCAGAGGGTAAGGGAGAAGCTGACCTAGCTTGGATGGGCAGACTTGCGGGGTTCTCTGCCCCATGGCAGGCATTCCACCATCTGGTCAGGACGTGCCCAGCCCAGCCATGGGTTGTGTGGGGAGCCATTACCCTGGATTCTGCCCAAGCCACACCCATCCCAACATGATGATGGGCACAGTGGGGATGACCTCAGCATCCTAGGAGTGGAATGGCAGAGTTAAGGGGCAAGGGCTCTTTCTGAGGCAAAAATTAAATAGGTCTGAAACCTCCAATGGCTCCACATCCCCTTCTAGAAAATGAGGCTGGAAGGCCACCAGGAGGCTGTAATCTGTCATGTTGAGCTCCCGGAGGAAGGCAGTGTCCAGTTCCATCTGGCGGAGGAACCAGCTCCGCTGGGGCCCTGCCGGAGCATCAGGAGGGCAGGTGCCATTACTGTCCCATTTCACAGATGAGGAAACGCAGCTGTAATGAGCCTTGGTCACCCAGCTAGTAAGTCTGGGGGTAGGAATTGAACGCTGCTCTGCTTGACTCCAGAACCTAGGCTCTTAATGACTCAGGCACGGGGCAGTGCAGGGGACTCCCTTCTAACTTCACCCTGAATGGAGGAAGAGCAGGCAGTGACCGCCCCGTGGCTCACCTAGGTTGATAGTCTTGCCCTCAAAGTTGAGATCTTTCAGCACCTGGACGATGGGGCTGCCCTCCGGGGCCGGGTCCACCCAGCGGCTCACCTCGCAGCCCTTGATGTCATACCTAAGAGGCAGGGAGTGGAGGACGGCAGAATTCAGCTCTGCACAGACTTGAGACACACAGGGAGCCTCACAAGGTAATCCTAAGAAACAAGAGCTTCCACGGGGTGACTGTTCATATCCTCAGCACGGCCCCATTGCATTGCTGTCCCAGGTCAGAGATGAAGAAAAAGGCACGGAGAGTTCCTTTGACTGCCCAAGATCACACAGTACGTAAACGGCAGAGTAGGGATTTGAACTCAGGCCCGGAAGCCGGCCCAGGCTTTCCCCCTGCCTGTGCCTGCGTCTCGGCCCAGTCATCCCTGGGGGTGTCCCAGACACAGGGGTCCAACCCTAGAGGGCAGCACCAGGACGGCTGGAAGGAAGGCCCTGGCCCTGGAGCACTAGTGGGGAGCTTGCCGGCAGAGTCAGGGCAATGTGCAGTCAGAGGCTGGGTTCGAATTCCTACTCCTCACACAGCAGCGTGTGGTCCTCCCCCGCCTCCGTTTCTCATCTAAAAAATGCGGATGATGATAAAACTATCCCTCAGAGTTGTTCTGGGAATAAAGAAGCTAATGAATGCAAATGGCTCAACACAGAGCCCAATGCATACTGAGCTCTCAGAGATGCTGGTCGGGGGTACCACGGTCTCCGACCCATCGGGGGATCTTGGGAACGTCCCTTCTCCTCCCCGGGCCTCGGTTTCGCCGGCCATCTAGGGAGCGTGGGGGCTTCAGGGGCACATTCCGGGTGGGGCCGGGGCCCTGCGAGGCCGACTCACCTCTCGGAGATGCGGCCGGCGGGAAAGAAGACGCTCTGCATGATGATGAAGTATTTCTGGGGACGGGGGTAGGGAGTGAGGGAGGCAGGATCTCACCCTCCAGCCGTCCCCTCCGGCCCGGCCCCCTCCCTCCGCCTTACCCACCTTCTTTCCCTGGGCCACCCGGAGACTGTGCACTCCTGGGAGGTGAGAGGGTGCCAGGTGAGGGACCCCAAACTCGGCAACCCCGGGCCCATCCTACCCTAGTCCGGGCTCCAGGCCACGTCTCCTTCTCGAGACACGCCCCTCCAGGCTGCGCCCCCAGACCCCTTCCCCAGTTTGGGTGGTTGTCCCCCCTGCACTCGCCTGCAGACTTAGTCCCACCCAAGTATGCGGGTCCTGAGATAAGGCCCCGCCCACACACCCTCCAGACAGGACTGTCCAATGCCCTCCTCCCCAGATCTTGGCCCCGCCCCCCGGCCCCCGCTCTCCCCGCTACATCGCGGCCTAGGACCCGCCCCCACTGCACGCTGCTCGCCGCCGGACTCGCCTCCTGGCCGCTCCCCACCACCCGGCTTGGGCTGAGCGCCCGTCCTGGGAGTCGCCCCACTCCCTGGCCCCCTGCGCTCCTCGCTCCCTTCCTCCCACCGCCCCCCAGTCCCGGGTCCCGGCCGGCCGTACCCAGCAGCCGCGCGAGCAGAGAGTGCGGGTGCCGCTGCAGGTGCTGCACGTAGCGGGGCAGGTGGGCGAGCAGCACCTGCACCTCCCGGCGCCGCTGGGTCTTCAGGAAGAAGCGCTGGTCGTGGCTGGGGGCGGGAGGGAGAGGTCACCGACCAGGCCGGGCTGGAGCGGCCGCCCCACCGCCCCTCTCGCCTCCCGTCCTCCCCTCCGTCTCACCTCCTCCATCTGACCTCTATCTGGCCCTGACCCTCCCTCACCCGGCGGTTCCGTTTCTCGCCCCAAGCGCCCCCACCAGCCCGGAACACCACTCCCACCCCTTCCCCGCCCGCCCCTGCGGCCAGCTCACGACAGGAAGAAGCTGGCCTTGCTCTTGGAGGTGCTGAGGAACTGCAGGTAGGGGCCGCCGGGGCCCAGCGCAGCCTGGTAGTCCTCATCCGCCAGGCCTAGGGAACGCCGCAGCCGGGCGAAGGCCGGGCCAGCCAGGGTGCCCAGCTCGAAGCCCTGCTGGGGAGGAAGAGCCGCCCCAAGAGCGTCCACAGGGGCCCACGTGTGTGCACTTGGCCCTAGTGCCAGGGGGTCAGGGTAACCACACCCTTCCTGCAAGGCTCTGAGGCAAGCCATCGCTCCCACTGCCTGAGGGGGAAACTGAGGAAAGAGAGCTAAGACGGGTACACACCCCCTTCCATGCAGCAGTCGGGGCTTCCTACCTCGTGAACCTGGGTCAGGACCTGGGAGAAATCCTCCTCAGTGGGCGGCCCCTACAGGGAGGGGCAGAGGGGCTCAGGGCAGGTCTCCACCCCCACTGCCAGCCCCAGCAGCTCCAAGCATCCTGCACTTGGCCTCGCCCCCTTCCCCCAGTTGGACTCCTCCAGCAAACAGAGACCACTCTGGGTGGGCCTGGGTTGGGCCGATGGGTCGCAGGCCCTCCCAAAGCTGGAAAGAGGATGAGAATGAGTGTGGCAGATCCTGGGTGTGTCTCATCCACTGCTGGGTCCCAAGGACCGGGCTCTCAGTTCAAGCCCGGCACACGAGCTCAGACACATGTTGGCCAAGTGAAGCCGGATGCCATCCCAGTAACAGAGGATGGCCTTGAAGCCAGGGGATCTGCCTGACTCGGCCTGGGAGGAGCAGGATGAGAGAAAGCTTCCTGGAGGAGGTGACTTCTAAGCTGAAATCTGAAGGATAGTGGAGGGGAAGAGCAGGGTGCTCATCACAGTGGGAACAGCATTGGTGGCCACCAGGAAGGGAAGGAGGGCCCAAGTGGCTGAAGCAAGTAAGGGAGGGATGGAGTGTGAACGAGGCTGG